CACCCTAAAAAAAAAAAAAAATCCATTGCACGCCACTCATCAGGCCAAAAAAAAAAAATGTAGTGTTGCCCTCCGCGACTAATCCAATTTTTTTTTCTTTGAAATTTTGTTTCAGGGATGTCACCAGCTTTTTGAAGTGCCGGTCGGCGATCATTCCGCGTTTTCCCGGGGGTGGGGGTGGCCCCCCCATTTTCCCAGGTGTGGGGGGGTCGCCGTATTTGTGAAAGCTCTTAAAACCAAAAGGCCTAAGCAAGTCGAGCAGGCCTAGGCCCAAGGCTAGCTGACACGATTTTTTTTTGGCTAGGCCCAGGTAGGCCTAGGCCAGAATTTGAGGAATGCAACAAAACAGATGAAGATGTGACTTACTGTAGGCCTAATTATATTAAATAGTTGACATGCTTTGTTTTAGATTAAAAAATAATAATGAACAAATCCCGGCGACAAAGCGTCGATCCAACTGTACCCAGCCGCATTGTTTGCTGTAATTTCACATGTTTGACGATTACCACGATTAATGTGTATGTCACTGATTCATGTGCACTCATTTATTTATTTTTTGTCCATTTACACACATTATATATCAATTATAATTAAAAGTGAAAAACTTAAAATACAAAATGAAAACAAAGTAAAGAAATAAAACATAAATCAGGTTTCGTAAATTTTTAATAATCTTCTTGCCCCGGACCATGATCTCATAATAAAACATTTGAATGGTCACGATTTCAACTTTAACCTTTGAATGTGTACAGAGCAACCGTGTCATGCCGGCCCACGATGTTCTCTATGACTCAACTGGGCCTAGGCCTAGGCTGTTAAGTTAGCGATGAATAGCAGGGCAGTGCAGTATTTTGTTACAATTAACATAACCACGGAAACATTTATTGTATTCTTATTGTCTTTATCTATCAATTTAGCTTGTCTATTGTGTTTAGGTAAACTAATTATTTTGTTACAATTTGTAAAGTGTTAAAATAACAGTGGTGGTCGGGAGCCTGTAAATCCTGGTCGGAAATGTTGAGTGCTAAACGGGCCCGTCCACCGCCGACCAGCGTGGTGACATCCCTGCTTGCACCAAAGCTTTTTTTTAACCCACCTTTGCAATGGGACTTCTGTTTTCAGATCTAGATTCAAACAACTGTTCTTATGTGACAAATTTGCCCGTATATTGAATTGGATTTTTCAGTGAAACACATCGAGAAAATAGCCCACGAAAATCAAAAGACCTAAGGGGTCATCTATTTGTTTTTTTCATTTGGTTGCAAGAGAATTACAGATTATTTTCTTACCATTCGTGCTCCCTCCCCCTCCCCACTAAGAGTACACAATGATGTAATGTTTAAATTGTCATTTTGAGATCATCATTTTTTCATTCATCATTATAAAAGAGCATACTTGCTGACCTCCATCCATTATCATTTCTGTACACTTGTGACAATGGATGATTCCTTTCATTCAGTGGGATCTTTCTGGTGGTGAATTTTGGCATTACACTTGGAGACAGTTGCCCTATTTCAAAGACTATGTTTTTTAACATGTAGATTAACCATATTACATTCATCCAGTGTATGTATGTCACTTTTGAGTTACTGGTTTTGTTATACAGAAATACTTGTACTGGATATAAGAGTAACAGCACTCGAGGGCATCACAGCAGTGTTCGACAACAAGCTCTTGGACAATTCAACCCCATTCTTTAAGGCAACAGCAGCTAAAGTTTGTAACGGGGTAAGTACAGATGAAGAAATTGTATTTGTGTAAGTGGGATTTGTGTTCAGCAAGAATACAGAAATGACTGGGCCTAAGACATTTTTGAGAAAGAGTTTCGTTTTCACTGAAACTGGTATTAGGCCTACAGTATATCAGTATTTCATATTGTATAATTGATGATAGACTAGTAATTTAAAAGTTTAAATGCCTGAAGGTGAGGACATGCTGGTAACATGATTAACAGTCGCTCTCAACATGTTGTATTCAGTAGTTGGCACAAAGCACATTTCTTGTTTGACAAAAAAAAAATGAGAACAACAACACATAGATATCATTGCCTTTAGGAACCTAAGAAAAGGGTTGCTAGTACAGTAACAGTGTTCTCTCAATTCTCTCAAGATTTTTACTGGTAAATTTTTCTTGTTTGACAAAAAAAAAATGGGAACAACAACACATAGATATCATTGCCTTTAGGAACCTAAGAAAAGGGTTGCTAGTACAGTAACAGTGTTCTCTCAATTCTCTCAAGATTTTTACTGGTAAATTTTGCCCATATAGAGCCAGCTAAGCGCATGCAATGTGAGACATTGCCACTTTTAAGTGGAGTTCAATGGCTTCCAAAACAATACAGGATCATAGCCTAGGCCTGGACTGGAATGATGTTTGTTTATGGAAAGAAGGCCAGCGTAGGCTACCTAGGCCTAATAATAAGTGCTTTTTATTCTACCAACAAACAACTTTTACTGGTTGATCAGTTATTTTTACTGGTAAACTTGACAGCTAAAACGGCTTCAGGAGTATACTGAGAAATTTTACAAAAAGACAATAGCAATATGCCAATCTTTTCATCTTCGCAAACAATCCATAAAAAGGTAATTTCATTTCCTGCTCTACCATCCTGACAGCTTTGTTGATGTTATTGAGGTTTGTTCCTATTCTACTTCTAAGTGCATCCCTAACCCCATTGTTCATTTAGTCTATCTATTCGACCTTTTTAGTTACAAAAACATTCTTGGATCGATCGTTACGTAAACATTAAATCAATTCCTTTTCAAACTTTTTTAATAGCATCTCTGGAACCTAATGATACAGTATGATTAACATTTAGCAAGCCTTACTATACTGTATGTTTTTACTCCACTTTTAATATTTAGACCTATGTCCCTAGTACCTTTGTTGGCATTAGCATTTTGTCTGCCCCCTACACAATAGGTCATGTTTTAACCTAATACTGTACAATAGTTTGTTTCCATTCCATCTTACATCATTCTAACCTTTGTTGACATTTTAGTGTTGTCAACCTTTTACACCTCTCCTGTTCACATTGTTGGTGTTTAAGCTGTCATTAGCCAAATAGCCAAATCCTAATATTAGCTCTGAATTTTGCTAAATATTTTTCATTAAAATCAGCCAAAAGGCTAATGGAAATAAAGCTACAAACTTATTCTTTTGTTTTGGCTAATCAAATTTCTATTTGGCTAAGTATTTTCATACCAAAGAAGCCAAATTACTAAATATTGTTTTTGTCCAGCATAACCCCTGCATTATTGACATTTAGTATTTTTAATTACAAAAATGCAGTGGACTTAAACTGTAGTTCCTGTTCAAAAAATTAAATTCTATTGTTATGTGATTTACCATTCATTGTAGACTGCCTTTAAGCCAAGATTTCATACAAAATATCCCCTTAATCAATATAATACTAAACTAAGTGTTTATCTCCATCTTGTTAGAGTCAACAGACTGTTCAATGAATTAAACTAAAAATAAAAATAAATGCATCATACTGTAGACATACAGTTCCTTAGTAACTAATCTAAAAATAGTGGACTCTCACTGTAGTCATGATTAATGTTCAAATCAGTACAAAGAAATAAAATAAAGTAAATACAATTTATGTGGCAATTTAATTTAGTTTTTCGGACTTACTGTAGAAAGCCCTAATCTTGTAGTTTTTTGTAACAGAACAGATAACTTCATTGTCATAGAAATACAAGGTACAAATTTTCTTCCAGCAGCAGCCCGATGCAATTTATCGTCAGGGGACAGTCTTAAGCCGTCGTGAGAAATACTTAACATGTTTAATATTCTACGACGCAACTTCCCCCTACGCAAACCATCGCATCTGCGTTTAACTCACCCAGACACGACGTGACAACAATTTGCGTTTGACTGCATCATACGACGCTATCTGAGTTGACCTCTTGCTGCATTGTGTGAACATAGCCACAATATCCTCAGTGCCTTCCAATCCCAGGGTCCTGGGTTCAAATCCAACAGCAGCACATGGTTATTTCTTGTCAAATAAAACAAATTTGTAACCTCCATAAGCCTAGACTTTTCAGTTTTTAAAGCATTGACATTATTTTGTTCATTTAAGAAGGGCCTCTGAACATTTGCCACCTTCTAAAATAAGGTACTGTATGGGTCACCTTCTAAATGTGTTTTTAAAAATCTGTTTACAATCGCTGAAATCAATTATTTGCACTTGTACAGTAATACTCTATCTTCAATTATTTTCTTTTGTTGAATGAATAGTCCCAATTTAAGTTTACTGTGTGCAAGTCATGTATAATAAAAGAAGGATCAAATTTATAGGAAGGCCAAGTTGCCAAAACAACTGATGTTTAATGAAAGCCAACCTTCCTAAATGAGGATCACGCCATTTGATATGCAGATCAAATCCCTTCCTGAATGTTTAATGAACATCTACAGGCATCTGTTCAGCAAGCTTACCCAGAGAAATATTGTTGGTAGAGTATTATGGCTTAGCCTAAAGGCATTCATCTTTATTCATTATGCTAATACTGTAATAGTCATTGTTCCCATCACGAACATTGTAGAAAGTGGAAACTAAAATGAAATAAAAAGACAGGTCTTCACAATAAAGTACTATTTAAACTCTAATACCACATACAAGGAGAAAAAGATTAACTCTAGAGAATATACTACTGTTGTAGAGTGGAACAAATAAACAACAATAACCAGCTATTCATAAATGGAACGTTCAAGGAGAATACCCTGTAGTTACAATAGTAGAACACATTTTATAAGAAATATCTTGAAAAGCAGGCACATTTGTAATGGTTTGCTATATTTTGGATTTATATTTTACCAGCTGTTTGGAACAAACAGCCTTCAGTTGTCAGGAAAATATTTTATGATGTTTCTCTCTATTTAATTAGTTTTAATCGAATTACAGTGCAGTGCATGTACACTTAGTACAGAAAGCAGTATCAAAATGGGAATTTTTTTAGTACAGCACAAGATTGTGTTTGGTATTAACTCTTACTGCCAGGAGATCAGCTGATATTCAGCGGCCATCTTGAAACTGTAAATAAATTAAATAGAATGTTTTGTAAATTATGCAGTTTGGACACCTTTTTTAAAAAGCTTGGTATCTTTTCAAGGATTCGAACTCAGGATTAGGAGGCAAGCATCGTTCAATCCAAGTTATAAATTCACTACAACTCAGGTTGATTTACTGTACATGCTGAAGGGAAAATATTAGTGTGGAATAGTTACGATAGAATTGGATAATGTGAGGTGTTGATAATATGCATCCGCTACGTTCTGCTCACATATTAAGCCGATCAATCCGATTTAACTGAACAGTTCATCGGATCTTGACTCACTTCCTTCAAGTACCATCATCAAGCAGTTCTCCAGTTCCTTTCAACTCATTTCATTTTATTTTTTTGTCTTTAATTCTTAAAAGTCAGTCACTGTAATGTAGTGTATGCTATAGTACTACAGCATAAATATTTCAGTTTCTGTCTCATGACTTAAGCAGATCCACTGGATTGCGAAACAAAAATTATAGGTTTAAACAGGGAGTTGTTATTTCCCTGGTTTAAACATTTAAGTCACATGTTATATCCTTAATATAACAACTAATTACAACAAAATATGTTTATTTTTTGGGATTGTACAGATTTAACACACTCAGTGTAGAACAAAAATGTGATATTTTACAATTGGGACCATAATTTATACTATGTGACCTATTCACTCTTAAATGTAAATATTTGAGATTAGCAAGGTCGCTTGAGGTCATGCACTACTATCTAGTGGTTTATGCTTGCATTTCTTGTGCAATAAGTTTCTTTCACTGGAATTGCGTGGATATCTTTATTGTCTGGATTACAGTTATCTAGTAAATTCTTTACATTTTCTACAGAACAGAAATTACAAATAGTGAGCTGTGACCAAACCAAAGTTTTTAAAGTAGTTTAAATGTTCGTATTACTGTATGTATACAGTAATTGGAAATGGGCACCCTCTCTTAGTGCCAGCCATCATTGCTGTGAACCTTCTTATAGTCCCCCATCTGAATTTCATGTCCATGTTCGGTGGTGCATAGAATTTAGAGTAATACTGGGGGGGGGGGGTGTGATTATCCATTCCCCTCCCCCAGGTTTTAAATATTCAAAATCTGTATCTTGCTTTACCTTTACCAGGTTTTTCTTCAAATATGCTTTTTGTGTCTTTGGAAAATCGGTAGTAGAACATATCAAAACCTCCCAAAGCTTGACTTTAAACTTTCCAGTTTGCTGAAAATAGAACTGACTATAAATACATAAAATTGAATGAAAAAGAATGTCTAGTACAATTGTACAACATTGAATAGTTCATGAGAATCTAATTTGAATCATTTTTTTTTTTTTTTTTAGGTGTTGACAGTGGTGAGCAATGATAACGATATTGAGTGCAAAGTTATTGAATTTTACGAAGGCTCCATCATTGCAAAGACAGAACTCACAATTCTCCCAAGCTCAGCTGCGACACCCAAAGATTTGGAATCACAGATTAAGGCAGCGGCAAAGAAGGGTGCTGTTGGTGAGCTCACAGTAGATCCTAAATCAATCGTAGTAAAGAGTAAGTATTTCTGCCCAGCAATGTGTATCATAATTAATTACAGTATAATTATTCATGAGCACAAACTGAAACAAAAAGTAGCTGCCAAAGGTCATACAGTAACAGGCATACAAAAGAATTGTGTTTGAGATGGAGTATAAGTGAACCCTTTAGGCTTGATGTCGTCTGAGTATATACCCAGGGTATAATTTCAGCAGCTGGAAAGGCTAGCGTTTTCCTGGCATGATATTCCATTGGCAAACAAGAAGTTGGCCGTGAGTTTGCACCACTTTAAACTGAATTCTTTTACACTCGGTACATACATGAACATTAAATACCAAATTGAAAATATTAGGTGAGAAGACTTGTAATGACCTATGACCTAGAAATTACTAGAGAAGTGTTCAAACATGCAATGGAAATCAAAGAAATTTAGACAAAAATCTACATGATGTGCCACTAATACCTGCCTATAAAAGTACAGTAATAAGAATTTATGGTGTTCTAAGCTTCCTCAGTCATCAATTACCAAGTTGAATTGTTCTTGAGACACTGATGGGATCATGAATCTATGACAAGGCACTTAATCAATTTGTTGTCCATTATATTGCAACTATTATTCTAGGTTAAATGCTTTATTGATTAATTATGATATCAAAATTATTCAACAAGATGTACACAAGCTATTTTCAACCATGTTTTATGAAGCAATTGAAATTGGATGACAAATATTATGACCTACTGTACTGAACACCAAGGATTTAGATAAGTCTAGCTGTTGAATGTGATCAGTTAAGATGGTGGTAACTGTACTAATATACTGTAATGTAGGCCTACAGTATATGAAACAAAGAATACCAGTAATATTTCAATTTTTTAGTATTGAGTATTAGTAATGATTATGGTTGTTATTTCTGTATGTTTTGTTTTCTGTATGTTTTGTTTTCTGTTTGACGAAATAAACGAAATGAAATGAAGTTTATTTTCAGTAAATTTATATTAATTGCAATTACCATGTATGCTGTCCATAACTACTTTATGAAAATTAATATTAATTTCAATGGAATTACTTTTGTTTATAATGCATAAATAATATTTTGAATAATATTTCAGTTTTGTCACATCACACACTGTATACTGTATGCATTTCTAATGACACAAGCTATTGCATCAAAGCCCATCATACAGTACTCATTATTATTTTTAGCCAGTGAATAGGTATTCAAATTCCAAATGTACCCACCTACTGTGTACTCATGGTTGGAGAGACAAATGGTTAAAGCTACTGTAGGCTCTGGAGGAAATTTTTTTTTGTATGTTGTACCGTACTGTACAACTAATTTTTCTAGTACATAAAAAGGGTATTTGACAAAAAACTTGTGAACAGTTAAAGATAGAGATTTTTTAATGTAAAAGAGTGTGGTTATGCCCCTTTTTTCCCCCCAGTTCTCAGGTTTTTTTCTCAAACACAATTTTTGTGTTTTATTCAAATCAGTTGTATACTGTAACATATCAACAATTATTAGGAAATTATCATAGGAGTGATATTTTGCCCTACCTGACGTGTAATCGTACTAAATACTCAATACTCAGTAGGGGATCGAATTCATCACTAGTCACCAAGCGCAAACTCGGTGGTCCAGTGGTTAAGACATCAGGCTAGATACCTGGAGGTCCGTGGGTTCGATTCCTACCAGAATCACTTGCTAAATTGTTTTGCTAGTTGGGGATGTACTGAGTATTCAGTATGATTACACGTCAGGTAGGGCAGAACATCACGCCCATATCAACAATTGTTTCCCTCTGTAGCCTGGCTCTAAATGCTGTAATTCATTTGTTGTCCAAAATATTTGATTGTATAGTACTGTAGTTATACATTTTTCAAGGACACAAACAAGATGACCTACTGTATGTGTGGGACTCGTGTTTCCGTTTCTGAAAGAACAATTTGAAACTGTTAATATTATAACCATATCTTTTTTTTAATGATTGTTTATTATTCCCAGAATAAGTAGCTTCAATTATTCAAATTTATATGTGATTATAGATTGGTTGAAATTGAATCATTATCATTTATTCCACATTCACGTTCGTTCCATTGCTCATTACTCATGATGTATAATTCGTAGATCTTGTTGGATGGTTCTATAATGACATCGGCATTGCAATCCCCGGCAGCTGTTTCCCCTCTCTAAAACTGAAGCTGAATCACAAACTGAAAGCTACGGAATACCTATTAAGTTGAAGTGCTTTTCATGCCAATACCTCTAAGTATTCTTCAGTTGATCGAAAACTTTAGACTAGAAAATGCTCATCAGTAATGGCACCTCGTGTTTAGTTACTAGCACAGAAAATCCATTATGAATATTACTTCCACCCTTTGCAATGTATCGTTGATCTTCAGTGACACTTTATCCCCATAAGAGACCTATGATCCATATATTTACTGGAAAAACTATTAGGAGATATGTTTACAGGAAATACACTGTATGACTATATTTTTAGTTACAGTAGTGAGATATCATACTGTAGAGTATATAAAATAATAACTATAGAATTCTACAGTAATTTATTTTTATTTGTTATTCATGCTTTTATCCCAAATAATACAAATTCACCACTTATATGAGGGCATTATTTTATTTGTTAATATATTTTTTTAATACATATTTTGAAACAGAATAATAAATGTGCAAAAGTATGGTAATAAATTTAAATTCAAGATTTAAAACTATGTGAGAATTTGTGGAGACTGTTATAACTAAAAATTGTCAGTCTTGAACTACCATGACATTGAGCTTACATTTAACACTTGATTAAGGCTACCATACTTTTGAGGGGGTCGAAGGTCACTTTGGTTTAGCATACATTATCCATGGATACCAATTTTCATTTGGAAATATTTTATAAGTATTACTGTTATTATTATTATTATTAAATATTATTGTGTTGTATCTGCTACAGACATGGATTTCAATTCTTCAGAGACTTCTGTTCCTTGCTGATTGTCTAAAGATGAAAGTGTTTGTTGCTTTATATTATTTTTTTTTTACTTCCTTTGTTTGCTGTCCATATCAGCACATTATATTATCTTGATTATTTGTATAAATACAATACATACACAATACAAAGTCGTGCAATCATTGATCATGTACATACAGACTTAGGCTGTCGTTACGATGAATAATCAGCGATAATGCACTGTTACTATGACCATGGACCTATAAAAAGACTGTGACACAATAAGGAAGGGGAAACTAGTAACTGACGCAAACCAAGCCTAGTTTGAAAAGAAGAAAGAAATATATATACATTTTGGGTGTTTTCCCATACCTAGTTCCTTAATATATAGTGTAAGGACAATTTAATACTAAGAAAAAGAATTGCCAAGTGTTGTTTATTATTTACATTGGAAAACCCAGATGATTGCATAATTACTTAGACACAAAAAAAATAGTATTAAGTATGATTTTATTCACTTTGCAATGTGTCATTTTTGTTCATTGATATAGTATTACAAAATTTGTATCCTTAGGTTGCAAATTTGAATGGTTAGCAAGTAATGTGATATTGAGCATTTTCCCACTAATGTATGTTCTCAGTGTCTCTGGATATTACTTGGCAGTCATGTAGACACTTTAATGTACGGTGTCATTTAATAAGGCTGTACATTTCTTACAAAATCAAAAGCATGATGACTGTCTACTGTTTATAAAATGTTACATTGGAAACTTTAAAGCAAAAAATCTTCTTCAAATAACGTCTTTCTCTGTTTAAGTTTTACTTTTTATGAATTAACACTTGCTAGTGTGTTACATCAAGGATGTGGTGGTGGTAACATGTCTGGCATCAGAAATGACACCTATAATGAAATTAATACCCGATTTACTTGAGACCAAGTGATACGCTTGAAGAATTTAGGAAGCATCCCCATCTATAGTAGCCATCTACTGTAGCTATCGATATTTGTACACAATTTATTTAGTATCACCATGTAAACTACATAATATTTCATAATTTGTCAAATTAAAAATTTGAATCTGTCTTTTAATTAAATTAATTTCATGTTGAATATCCAAGATGATGATAAACCTAGCAGAGAGTAATGAAAGCCTAGGTCTAGTTTTATTGCCAATAGTTCGCACCCTCAGCAGTCCTACTCTAAGGAAAATGAAGACTTTTCCCCAATGTTTAACTACCTGGTAGAAATATCTCTGGATGTCCGTTTGACATTTAGCATGAGTTCTGTGTAATTTCTTGTGTGTCTGAAATATTCTTATACCAAAATTGCACATGAACTCTGTTGGTAAACATTTCTAACTTGAGCTTAAATATTGTTGTTTTGTGCACATTTTATCAAACTATTTTTTTTTTTGCAACAAAATATTGTTGGTGTTTCCTGGGTGCTTTGGATTTGGCAATACATCTGAAAGACGAACCTAATTCCCAACTGTTTCTTGGTTGGCAATCTTCCAGGAAAGTCTTACTAAAAACTCATCACAAAACAGATGCCAACTTTCTGTATAGCCTGTTGCCTAAGTCAACACTTCAGTAGCCATTTTCTATACTCTGAAAGGGGCAAGAAGACGTCAGTAGAGTATGTGTGTAGCACTATAACAATACAGCATGTTGACATATTGTTGACTCCTTGGCCAATACTGTACTATAACAGTATTAATGTCCAGTACTTTTGAAGTACTGGAAGTTGACTACAGAACTACTGTATGTCAGTTAATTACTGTATACCCATTGCTTTATTTTTATATACTTTTTGTATTTTGTGGCCTATTTCTATCAGTCTACTGAATAAACTTACTAAAATCTACTGAGGTTTGACCTAGATATTTATGTGGCATTGTAGTTCACTGGAATCACCACAAGATTATTCAAACTTTCTGTAGAGGAATAATATAAGCCTAATGCTTAGCCTGTTTTTCATAGTACAGTATGCTACATGTAACTTTAAACATTTAAATGTCTGGATAATTAATTCCATTGGCTTGACAATGTACTGTACACTATTTTCATCTGAATGTTATATATTTATACATTAGGGACCTGTAGGCGAATTGTTGTGTTGCCCAAGCGACATTTGGAAACTCTGGTTGGTCAGTTAAAATTGTTTTAAATATAGGCCTCGATCTAGTTATCAGGGTTCTACCAACCTCACATTTTGGTTGTTGTTAAAAAATAGAAACCACAGGCTAAAACGCATGGTAAATGTATAAGTTTATAAAGTAAATTAATTTTTTAGGCCTTAGTGTATACATCTCTGGAAAATGAAAATGATCGTCTACTGTACTGCGAATGAAAAAAATAATGGCTGATATTACCGGTACTTTTAAATATTTTATAGTGTCTGAGTTCCTAGAACAGCACCTTAACGGCTTAACAACTTTGGTCTGCAATGTTGTAATGGCTTTAATTTTATGATTTTTATGAGTTTATTATCAATTGGTAAGGAGCTGGATTTGTGTAAACGGGGGATCGTTCAGGGTATTTGCGTCAGTCAGCCTTCACAATATACATCACATACATCAACTACAGTATATGGTTGACAAAATATTCTTTTTCAAATTTATCTTTCTTAAAAAACTTTTTTTTCAACAAACAATAGAGTAAGTAACGTCTAATAACCTATGGCAACTCCAGGCAAATGGATGTAAGGAAGGAGACAGGCAGTTTAATATTTGAATACTTAAAGGTTGGAAAAACATGCAGGGGATGGATGATTTGTTTTTCGTGCCTAACAATGACAACTTTTTTTTTCTTCAGGTCCAGATTCAAATGTTCAGATGACAAGTACTCCAATGGTTAGTATCAACTTACACTTACTTTTAAATTAACAATAGAAGATTTAATTATTTAAATTCTTTCTTATTCTTGTGTGTCAAATGATTTGTGAGGTCTGCAGAATATTAAGCTATTGATTGTGACTGGCTCTGGAAAAAACAGCTGTTTGTCAGAAAATTTCAAAATTGAGTTCTTCAATATATTTTCTTTTATAGAATTCAAAAACCTGAATATGTTCAATATTCTGATTCTTGAACTTTTTGGGTGCTTGTGTGAAATTAGAAATTGTGACTAATGGCAGGTTTTGTCATAGCTGATCACAATTATATGATTCAAGATCATAATTTTCTTTATAACATTGTGTTTCAAAGATTGGAAATAGCTAAATCCTAATTTTGTAAATAGAACATATTAGCAGGAAACAAATCAATCAATTTGAATAGACAACATCCTTACTGTAATATATTATGTCTGTTGAGAATAGATTAGATGGTATGTAATAAATACTAGAGGCATCTATGCAGCAAATCTCGCCTGATTTCCCAGTCATCACACTCCAGAATCAATGTAATTTTATGGTAGATCATATTAATCTGAAATAAATTCCCTTGAAAAAGAATAGTACCCTTAAATATACAAACGTCAATTGTTATCAAAACAGTTTTTTTGTAACTGCTTATTGTGTTAAATAGTTACTTCTACCATTCACTGTACAAGTCCTCCATCATGATCCATTGCCAGTGCCATTATTATTTATGAGCTATAGCATGAATAGAGAGTTTTCAATGCGAGTTAAAACAAATGTGTTATAATACATAGGAGAGAACCTCAGAAAACCTCTGTAAATAATTTATAATGAACAAATCAGAAATACTGTTATGCAACTGTTAAACTGAATTTGTGTTACGCAATAGGATACTGTAATTTATCCTCCATCAAGAAAGCATTTGATTTAAAAGGCCACCAACTCAGCAGTTCATTCGCTATAAATGCAACATATAAATTAACGCAAGATTTAATTTAAGTGGTTATTCTGATATTTAATGAGATTAAAATAAGAAATAATGATTAATATAAAAAAAAAGGTTCTTCAATTGAATTATATACGGTAAAAGAATGGAAATTAATAGTAACATTGAAATTATAGAATTTGAAGTTTAAAAGAAGTGCTCCAAAAATGTCATACTTTACACCAGTTAATCTTTTATGTTATCCGTTTATATTCTTTCCGTTTAGACACAAAGTATTTTGTAGATCCCACCTTCTTAGTAGTGGTAGTAGTGTAGTAGACAGTATACATAGAATTATATTTGTAGTGTAGACCTGATGTACTGTACTGTACATTACAGTAAGTGAGTATTATGAAGCCTCCATATTGCCAGAGGTAATACAAGCTAGACATGGCCAATCAGAATGTGAAGTGATCTGTATTAGATGCATAGAAAATCACTAATAGTAGAATCCATGTAACCAGAGTGTCGCCATCAGCCTAGAATTGTTGGCTGTCATTAATCCCAGCATCGTGATGCAACTCGTCATCGCACGCTCAGGCACCGGGCAGTTATTCAACCGTTTGCTGTCATCAAATCTGCAAGCCCCTGTCACTTAACCAGCATGTTGCACTGCTATTAAGAAAAAACAAAAATACCATTGTTATAAAACAGCTTGCTACTGTTAGTCATGGTGACAAAGCCAGACACTGCTGTCAATCAGGATACTTAGCCAATGAGCAGCAGTCACAGTGATTATGTGATTATAGATGATAACTTTTCAAGCTAATCACATTTTATCAGAATATGTTAATGAGTGTTTTATCAATTTTTCCAATCATCTACGTGTAATTATTTGATATTACACTTATCTTTCATCTACATTTGTTCCTTGCTAGTTTCGGTGTTCACAAAGACAATCCCTCACAACCAAATAATGGATCATAATTTGCAATAATAATTGTGCTAAGCCGAAGGACTCTAGTGACACGCCCCGGGGGGCTATTTTAAAAGCTTTGGGATAATGCTTTCCACAGAATATGCTGAAAAATGGCATGGCAACTGGTATCGTCATAGCAACTTGAAACGTGTCAGTGAAACGACCATAGTTTTATTTGTTTGAATTCCTCGAAGACTAGTTAAACCAGCCAACTGATGTTCTATCCAGTAGTGTTTCTATTTATTATTCCAAAACAGTTTTGTTTAGTCTTCTAAAAAATTCCATATTTTTTAGATCAGTGCTGATTTTACTGTACTGTACTTGCATACATTTGGCAAAATAACTTCTGGTAATGGACATCAGGCATTAATGGGTTCAGAAAATTAAAACGGTGAAATGGAATTTTTGTCATGAATAATTTATATCGTTTTTTTACCAAGTCTTATTAAATATTTATGAGTAGAAATACATTTATGTTAAGTGGTTCTGCAAGCTGTCTTAATGAGTATCAGAATTGTATTCACCATTCAATGCTTTTGAGAAAGAAGCATTCGATGCTATCCGTTCTGTGACTGACTGAGATGCAGCGAATAGCCATATTTGATTGGCTGTGAGGTAGCGAATAGCCACATCAGATTAAAACAGCCACATCAAAAATGGCTGTTTTAGGCAGCGGAAAGTTGCATCTGGTCTCGAAAACAATTCTAATGCACTGTGCACCTGCCTATTCTTTCCTGGGTATGATATTAAACTTCATCCGGTGACTAAACTGAAAACCCCACTGAGACTTGAAATGTGTCTTAGTGTCTACTGAGGGGAGGGTGGTCACTTAGCAACAAGAAATACCAACAGTGGAATAGTGAGTGGATGAGTTCATTGGTGTAAACAGCTTGCCCCGGGCCTCAAATTCCCCCTGAATGATGCGGTGATGTGTGAGGTGGTAGTTAAGTTTCACAGAAATATTTAGTTCTGTCCTTCTGTAGTGCCTTGAGCAATACTGCGGTGATCATGTGCACTTATTATTGGTCGGCCATAATTAGTTCACAGAATAGGAGTAGTTTAGCCCTATTATTTTGTTCTTGTTTTATCATCCTTGTTCGATTATATTTTTCTTTTTACAGTGTATACAGGCATTGTGCTGTATGTGGAATATGAATATAAAATTATTATATCCTATGAATTGAAACTGGTTTTCAATAAGTTTTGCTCAACAAACATTTATTTGTCATTTCTTTGAATTTCTTCTTTTTTTTTTTTTTTTAATATCATAGGTATCTAAAGAAATTGAAGTAGTTAAATTCACTCCGACAATGAAAGTAAAGCCAAGCACTACAAATGAGTTCTCATTCGCAAGTGACGGAACACAGGAGACAACCAGAGACATAGTCAATGTTGAGACGACCCCCATCCCTGAAGTGAATTTCTTTGATAGATTATTCAAAAGTCCTGTCATGCTTGCCGGTAAGTTACTACCAGAGGTTTTGAGCCAATTGAAAGCTATACCCCAGGGTGGTGTACTACACCGTGGTCAGCCCCACCTCTACATTTTTTAGGTACTTAATACATTATGATTGTGATGTATTGCCAAGTACATGCATGTGCAGTGCTTTGCAGGTATTTGGATTTGCAACATGGGAGTTTCGATGTGGTTAAGCCAGAACCCTGTTTTCTAGTGAAACCAACTCTCTTGCATTAAATACCATCATAATGATTATAAAATTCACCTTTTACATCCTAGAATGCTTCATCTCCATGGAGCTTCACCCCTGACCCCAACCAGTGCTCTGCCCCTGTGTGTGCCATGTGCATCTTAGATGGTTAATGGCACTATGCACAATATTAATAATTTCAGAACTATCTATGCGGTATACCGCAAGCATTTAACACATTAACTCACCATGCAAACCTTCAAACAGTATTAGTATTAATATCAGTTTTGACAGGCATTTAAATTGTACTGTCTGTTGTTAAATCAGGAAAATTAAAACCCTAAAAAACCAGTTAAAACATTATTAGTCCTATGTAAATTCACTAAATATATTATACAATGAGACAAATCAAATAAATTTTCACTAAATTCACAAATTTTTTTTACTATGAAAATAAGCAAGTCAAATGCTTTATTGTTTCTAGTTTATTTGCTCAACAGACAGACATCTAAACTTTGAACTCTTTTTTCACCCCTATCATAGGTATGGTTGGTGCTGCAGTGCTTGTTCTGCTTACCATGATTTTGCTGGGTATGTTCATCGTATACCGCGTAAAAAAGAAGGATGAGGGCAGTTACTCACTCGATGAGCCTGGCAAAATGAAGGATCCACAAGCCTACTGGAAAGACACTAAGGAATTCTATGCATAATTTCTATATCCTGTATGCCTTCATTGTTGCCAAAATAAGACTCCGCCAATATAAACCCAACACAAAGGAACTCTTGTTGATCAAATCCCATTTGAAGATATACTGTACATACTACAAGCTACTAGCATTGTCTTCCAGGGCTGGAAAAATTAATTATATTCAATCCTGGAGACAACCTTGGCATTCTGTATCCCAATTAATTTAAGCTCTCGCTATTATTTGTGAAAAATTGAATAATCCATTATATGCAAATATAACTTTTCTTAGTTGAATATTTATATAGTAAATTTCATTTATGAATTAACAATACTTTACAACATTCTATTTGTGACTGATCTTGCAAACCAATCAGTTTTTTTAAAGATATACTGCAACAAAACATAATTGATAATTAGTAATAATGATCTTTGACTTTGGCTAAACCCTTATAAAACTTTTAGATACCAAACAATTATTACATTTCTTTACTTAAAAATAATTGCAATGCAGGTTGAAAAAGTAAAATGGTATTCTTGACACAGTCATATAAAACATTGGAGCATACTATATAAAACATATTTTTGTTGGTACTGTATTGTATTGTATTTTAATTTTTTTTTTCCTATGTAAGATATTAATTAATAACTAAGATGATTAATGTGATTTCCTTTTCTATACAATTTATAAGAAGTAGAATTTGAAAATGTTTTAAATAATGGATACATTTTCTAGAAGCCATATTATAAGATAGGTGTATTGTAGATTAAGTGAACAAATAAACAACAGCATGTGTTTAAAATCTAAAGACCACTTTATGATCCAAGATCTTGAATCTTAACAACTGTGTTGGCTATAAGGATTATATTCCAGTTTCTAACTCTAACTATGTGGTGCTTTTATGAATTGAAACTAACAGCACCAGTTCTCAGTGAAAGTGTTCTAGTATTAGTTTTCTCACCAATTGCTGGCAATGTATGTGGTAATTTTACCAGTTCTTCACTATTCAGATTCTTGCTCACCCTGTTGGAGAAATAGACCAATCCAATCCAAAATCAATGATTTTGGACATGTGAATGCCTCATGTAAAAACAGTGGTCTTTAGATAGAAGACACATAAGAACTAAGTAATTACAGTGTGAAATGTACCGCTTGGATGATGATTCAATGTCTTTTTTCTGTGTTGATCATTATGAAATTATCGGTGCATAAGATTTTTAAATGTGGGCTGCTCTGTAAATAACGCAAAGTATCTTACACTAGTTTACATTTTAACTAACATATCCCCGAAAAAAAAAGAGTAAATTTATGGAAAACAGTAGTTTAAATCGTTTAAACATGAATGCAATGGGAAATTGTTGCGTTACGTTTTGAAACACATCAGCAAAATTGTTCAATAGCCTGGTGGTAACAGTCGAGGTATTGTAAAGTGGAACGTTGTTGATAGAATATTGGTTTCTGAACTACTATGATTTTTACATATTGCGCATTCATTTCTAGGAGAATTAAGGAAACATTGGACATAAACTTTATGAAACAATCGGAAAACACAGCATTAACAATGGGTCATTGAAAGTTGTTGAACCGGAAAAACTTGTTTTGAAATTTCATGCAAACCAATTCTAAGCAAACAACTTAATGGTTACACTTTCACTCAGTTTTTGAAGAATTTTCTCAGTAATTACAGAAAAAAGACGTTTATTTTTGGTTTTCAAAGTAATATTTCGTTGCTTGTAAAATAGCTTGTATCATTTAATTTCATAATGAAAATCTTGTTGGAATCCTCAAGTAAAGTTTAAACCCAAGTTGGCCAATTACAAGTTAAATGTAATATGTTAATTAACTTGCTCCTATTAAATGTTTGTCTGCCTTCACTTGGAATTGATTTAAATCATGTCATTTTACATAATATTTTACTTTAGTTTCCATATATGGATAGTATTGCCGTTATCATTCTTTCATTTTATTGTCAAAAACTATTCTAGTATTCTAGATAAGAAAACAAATTTAAAGTTGTTAAGTTATTGAAAATCATATTTTTGTATATTTTAAACATGCAAATTGTACAAAAGCAATTACTAACGTTAAAAAAAAACTGATTAAATATTGGAGAAATATGATTTCATTATCATGGGTTTTAAGTATAACATCACTGTTCTGCACATTTATTTTTGATCATGCATTCTGGAAATAGATTTGGAAGATATGAAAAAATATGATTTGATGTAACATGTGGTGGAGTTTGTGAAATGGTCTAGTTGTCCTTCCACCACTTTTATTATACACTCTCCAGTTAAAGTTGTATCATAGTATAGTTCTATGATTTATGATTATTTTGTTAAATAATTTAAATATTTTCTAACCTCTCTCACCCAGTCTTCAATTAATCAATTATTCTCTCGAAATTTGTTAACAACATCAGTGCCTTTGTTACGTTTGTAGTTACTGCACGCCTTGACATTTCGTGTTGAATAAAATCTCCAATATTACCAAAAAAAAAAAATTATGTTGTATGATCTTGTTATTTGAGTCTTATGTATTTAATGTAATGTTTAATATTTTTGATGTAGTGCTTAATAGTGTTTAATATATTTTGAGGTAGTGTTTAATGTTTAATATAATTTGAGTTAGTGTTTAATAGATTTTGATATACTTTGATTTTGTGGTAGTGTTTAATTTGAAGATGACAACAAGCTTGCTTGATTTTGTCAGCAACAATGGCATTGAACTCAGGAATATGCATTGTGTTTGCCGCCCAAAGACCCTGACCAGCATGGCAACAAATACTCACCAGTGGGCTATATAGAATTCACATGGCGTTTTACAGGATGTTTGCCGTTGTGTTTTGTAAGGAAATGTGTGGTTTTATATTGAGTGGAATTCCAGTTAATTATCATAACTGTTGAGTTGTTTGAGTAAAAAGTCAACTGCATTGTTGAATCCAGTGGACACACTTCACCCAAAACGACATCGTCAAAAAGATGGTAATGAATGAGTCATCTAACCGAAGTCCTTCACACAACATGATGACTTCATGTACCACGCATTTGTAACAAAAGAAATCCATGATTATTATTTTTTACAAAATCCAGATTGCAAAGAATAATAATAATTCTGTCCATTACAAGAACTAGGTCAAGCCAACTGCACGGTTAAAGCCTAATCCATAATCAACTGCATAACATCTAATTATAATATGTTTTTGAACTGTGTGACATTCTCAATAATTATTCTAGAGTACTTGCGAAAAAATTACGAACCATTAATCGACTGGATTTCAAATCAAAGAATGTAATGCACATTAAAAGATAATCGGGTCTTTATTAGAAGTTTCGTTAATTCAAAACCAGAATGCAGAACTACTTTACATTAGAATTTAAAGATGACCTCTTGGGGTAGTGAGTTATGTGGATTCATTTGTAAAATCTTGTCGATTGTTATTTCTCCTGCCCAGTTCTTGTAACTTTACACTAACTTCGAATTACTTTTCGATATTTCTGCTTTAAAATCTCGCCTCAAAAATATATCCTTCAATAGACTAGATATTTCTTTGATAAGAAAGTATGAAACAAACTTTGATAAGCGAAGAGCAAGCCAAAACCATTCGATTTTTTTTTAACTTGACCTGTTCATGTTAAGTAGGGATAACTCTGTACACAATCACCCAGTGACTTAACCAATAAATTTTCAGACATAAACCAATCACAATTACAGGAAGCATTTTGTTTGAATATAAGTCAATTGTATGAGATAGATCAAAAGGCCTCCGAGTGATGATGATATATAATTTTTCTCATCTGCATTGTCTATCTCTGCATTGCAGAAGTAGGGCCTAAACAGAAAGTTTAAGTGGATGTCGTGGAATCCCAAGTTTTTTTTGTTTTTTTTTGTTTACTTCACTTTCAATTTAAATATTTAAGTCAGGATATCTGTACCATTTCGATATGGTGTGGTTCTTAGAGAGACTGTTAAATTAATTGAGAGTAAACGGTCAAATAACCTTGTGTCATGTGATATTATCGCAGGCAATTTCACAGTAACTTGTACATGTTAACATACATTCTTTATATATAATTTTATAATTTATTAGTATAAATATATATGTATTCAGAAAAGTAGTACATAGCCTTATGAACATACTACGAGTGTTGGAAGAAAAGGGGATGACGTGTTTGCGAAATGAGATCGAGAACATGGGAGAGGGTGGTTTATCTTCATTGGACTTAGATACTTGCTCTGAGCATGCTCTGAGTATCTAGAAGGAAGGGAATTATTGAACTTGCAAATGTTGAAGGGCTTGTAAATAGAGAGAGATATTAATGCACTTCATGTTGAGTATGGATGTGATTCTTGAATGTCATTCATTCAAAAATAATTTATTGTGGCCTCACCCACCACACAGCGAAGGGGTAAATTAAAATCAAGCCAGCATGGGACTGTTACCATAAGCGTTGTGGTGACTAGCTCCTTGCTTAAATAAACGCCAGGGATTACCGTCTCATTCCTATCATCGCCGAGAGTGGGCAGACTCGTAGCCAGGGGGTTTTTATGATTCGGGCAAACCCCCATTTCTAGCAATTCCCTTTCTTTACTGCCGAACATCCCCCTCCCGAATTCCCGAGTCCTTCAACCCAACTAATGCACTACAGTTCTGTGCACACGAAATGTCAAGAAACAAGAAGTAGCACAATATAACGCATTAGTGTATTTTGCATGCATTTTAAATTATGTAATTTTTTTAAAAGACATTTTGTTGTAAAAAGGGCCCCCAAAATCCACACTATTCTTTTTGTAACGTGCATGCTCGCCATTAAACTTAATTATTACAGAAACCTCCCAGGACTCCTCGTATCTCTTTTGTTACTACTATGATTCCTTTTCATTTTTGCAATATTTTCCTACATTCGTTCACCCTTTCCTCATTTATCTCTCCGAACTTTATTTTTCTTTCCTGGGCTTCTCCCACATTGATGGCTCTTCTTTCTACGCAATTACATTGTTATAAAAGCGTATAATATTAAAAAGTTGCTTAAGCCTAATACTATCAAGAAAATATATTGTATTAAAATATAATAATCTATTGCTTAAGCACACACTCTGATATATAGGGCTATATATTTATCCACTATAAAAAAGACGTGTTTGTTATACAAATACCATAGTATATACGAGGACATGTATAACAACTTCATGAAATAGTGGATAGCTGTGTTAGTCTGAACTATACAAACGTTATACCCTCCATTGTCTTTCATGTACTATTCGAGATTGATTGATTTTAATTCATTTGTGCAAAATATATTACATTTAGATGTTCACTGCTCACGTGAACGAATGCTTAAGCTCGTGCTCAATAACATAATTTGTTAATCTTAAAAGTCTTTTACTGATTCTTTCTTTCAAACTTATTCGTATTCTGGTTTGATTCCATAAAAAATCTCATAATTTTCTCGGTTATTACTATATTGTAAGATCTTTGGTCTCCATCAAAGATATTTAATCCTTTGCATCTACACAGTGTACTGTATAGGCCTCAGAATACGTTAATCTAAAGCAAATCTGAAGATCTAATTGAATAGGGGGCGCTCTTCACAATTTTATTTTATTTGAGCGAGCTCCCTTTACGTCATCATTGTTTTGAAATTACGTCATTCTATTGCTTTTGTAAGAAATAGATTTCTTACGGTATTTTTATATCTGAAAAAAAGGTTGAATTTTGTTTAAAGGATGACTCGTGAAGATCATCCGAAATATTCGATAGATGCTATGGATGTTGATGATCAGGATGAGTCAGTGAAAAAGCTTCAAACGGAGTTGGAAGTAGGAGATGTATGCAGTCTATTTGGCTTGTTTTGGTTTAGGCCTAGGCCTAGATCTCCATTATTATAGGCAGCCTAAAGTAGGCCTACCTAGGGGCCTGGGCTAGGCTAGCTAAGTACGTAAGCGGTCTTTGAGGCAACGACAGACTAGCCTACGCCCCTCTCAGCCTACATGTCATTAGGTAGTAGGGCCTAGCGTAATCATTGAGGTTAGGCCTAGGCTAGACTTTGGTCATTTGTATTTTATTTAAGTTTTCAATGTGCCTGGCGTACCTTTCATTTTTAATTTTTATTTTAAAAAATTACTAAACATTCAGTTCAGTGAATGATCGATATGTAGGCCTATACCAGGCCTAGCTATGCCTATGTATAATCAATATTAATTACAATGAAATCTGTCTGATTTTAAGTCCAAAATTATAAACTTAATGCCATGCTTTTTTCCTTCAGACTGATAAGAGCCCTACGGTTGAAAAGACAAAGAAAGTTACAAAGCGTGGCCGTCGTCCATCTCAAATTGATCAGAAGCTGAAATTGGAACGGAGCCGACAAAGTGCAAGGGAGTGCAGAGCTAGGAAGAAACAGCGTTATCAGTACCTTGATGATATGGTAGCCAACAAGGAACGTGCAATCTATACCTTAAGAGAAGAACTTGAATTAGTGAGTGGCAAGCATGGCTTCAAAAAAAGCTATTTTAGATACTGTCTGTCCTAAATTATGAATGATCCTCTCAATTCAAAAAACATTAAAATTCTGCTTTTAAAAAAATAGAAAACAAGTAAAAAATATTCTAGTCACTTTCTGTGTTTGGATCTTCAAAATTTGTCAAAGAAAAGACCGTATATCAAAGATGTGCATATTGTAATGTATGCATGCATCATTCTATATTTTTTGTATATTGATAATTGAGAAATTAAACTTTTTGTTAACAAAATTTGCATTTTCTAAAGTGTGTAGCTAGGTTAAACACACAATTATCATGAAATGCATGAACAATTTTCACTTTCAGCTTATAACATTATGGAAGGTACAGTAGACAACATAAACATGCACTGACCTCCACAGGGTCAGGTTCTTTAGCAAATGAGGCATGTTGTGGCAAAATGGCTAAGTTGCATGATTAAAAAGACATTAAACTGTTGATCTATAGTGAAAAAAAAAAATTGGATTTTTAGGCAATTTTTTGGGCTCCCATATTTTATATCTCATTTACTCAATACTGGCCTGTGCGACAACTTAACCATTTCGCCACGACATGCCTCAAATGGTAAAAACTCGACATCGCCCTTGCTATTACATTCCAGCGACAGAGTCTCTCTGGACTGTATTGGTTTTCATTTTTTTTTTGTTGACTTCATAATTTTTACTTGAGTTGAATGGCTTGGTGGTTAAGATGCTTGCATTCCAATCCCAGGGTTCTGGGTTCCATTCCTTTCACGGTAACAGGATTTTTCCTTATGACCAAAACAACTCCACTCCCTAAGCCTCATGAGGTCTATGTAAAGCAGCATGTGTTTATGTTTATCATGTGAAGGGATTTGCCACCTATCTAATAGGACAGTGATTAAGTCGCTATTGGTAATCCTTAGTCATTGGCCATGTGCCTAAAGGAATAAAATAAAAAATAACTTTCTTTAGTATGATTTTATTTTTGGTTTTCATGTATTTTTTACTTTTGTTTTTTTTTTTGTTTTTTTTTAAATGATTTTTAAAAAATATTGTGTAATTTCAACATCACTTCTTATTATACAGTGGCAGTTAGGTAGAGCCCCATATGTTCTGTTTTACAAATGGACATAGTAAGACATAGTTACTTTTGTTGTTATTAATGAAATATAGTTAATTTGTAATATTGACTTGTTATTTTTTAGTACAAGAAATGGTGTCTTTCAATTGACCGTGGTGTTATCCCTGCTGAGTTGGAGAAGTCTTTACAGTCGACCTCAAGTCAAAAAGATGAATGATTTTCAACCATTGCTTCTGGAACTTGTTGCCCTTTTTGAAATAGCACTGTTAAACAATCTTCAACTGGCGTCAGTGGCCTTTTCAGGATTTGAGAAAAGCAGTTGTACTAATAATGACACATCCTTTCTACTCACTGGAAAGAAGATGTTATAAAGTGGCTTGGCTGGGTAGCAAAGCTGATAAATATGTTTGCTTCAGTTTCATTTATGGTGGTTTAGTCGATCGGATAGCTCAACAGACCACATTTGTTTTAAAATTTGTATTGCCCTATAAAAAGTGGTGAGGTTGATGAGGCTCTGGTAATACTCAAATAAATGATTGTATGAATGTCAAAAAATTTATAATGAAACATCAGAGTTGTAAAGAAGGCTGTCTGTGTTGTCAGAGACTGGTTCCATTCAGTAACATATTCTTTACCCTGTTGTAATGCAGTTAATGATTGTTCTCATTCTCATGTTTTTTCTGTTGTAGATTCTTGTCTTCCTCCTATATATTGGGGGTGTTTTTTTAAAATAATATATTTGAATTTTGTCATAACCAATCAATCAGTTCCAGGGCAAACAGAATACTTTTCCCCCATCAGCCATCAGGGAACTCAATGAAATGGTTAATGGTTAATGGTTTTTAATTTATAGAGCGCAAAATACAAAAAGTCTCTAAGCGCTATCAGGCAAGTGTAAAGATGGAACGGAAACCAAAACCACAAAATAATGAAAGCATGTGTAATGAACACTCTAGGTAAATAGACATTATGTATCACCAAAACTTTTCTATATTATATACATGTGTGATCATATATGCTAGGTAAAAACAGGCAACCTATTTAATACTCACTATTTTGTAGTAAACAGTTTTGCTAATATCATCCGGGCTGTAATTATAAATTTGTTTACCTTAACATTATCATTAATACAAATGTTTATTCTGTTAAACACGAATTGGATATTAATATTTTTATTTTTGTAGGGAGATTTTAATTATTTAATAAATATTAACACGAATTGGATATTAATATCTTTATTTTTGTAGGGAGATTTTAATTATTTAATAAATATTTAATTAGAAAATTTAGAATAGTTGGATTGTGACTTTTAATTTCCCTTTAACTCATATACTATTTAACATAATATAATGATTATATGATATTCAGAGCAAAATTGAGGCACAACATAAATGACAGCTATATTTATTAATTAACATTATAAGATAGAGTATAAAAACATGGTCCCCATGTTGCTTACACATATACCATAAAAATTATAACAGATGCAAAACTTTCACCAAGAAAGGTTATTACTTTACTGCAGTATTGTATTTATTTTAACAAATTATTTATTGTTTATTTAGTATTCATTCTTTAAAATGTTTGGCTACCCCACATTTTGGGGCAACGGAAGTGACTGGCAGATCAGACGACTACTTGACAAATTGCGCTGAGACAAAAAATATATTATGTAGGCCTGGAATATTTTTATTAGAATAATATATTATCTTTTTATAAATTATTTTTTGTAAATATATGATGATTTTCAAAGTATGTTGAATGATATAGTAATAACCAACTTCTGGAGAAATGCTACCACTATCTTGGATAATTTTACAAAAACAAGCTTTGCAATGTTTTAAATCAAACTTTTCTATTGTCAAATTACGATCATTGATAATACAGTAAGCCTTGTAAGAATATGCAAATATATTGTGAATTTGTATGAGATGTTGCTCGTTGGAGTGCGGAAGGGCATCTCAGTTTTTGGGGCGACTCCTGCGACTTGCAGGAAACTCAAGACTCTTAAATATATATTATTTTCTTTGGTTTTATTCATGAAATTACCTTTGAGGTAAACCGTAAACACACACACTGGTATTGGATTAAAATAAGCACTTTCGTAGTGTGCATGACCAATGTCAAAGGTCAAATGACATAAATTAACATGCCTTAGGGACCATCCATAATTTTCAATATTTTCAAAAGAGTACAAAAAATTCGTTTTAGAGGTGGGATAGATGATACATAAGTACCAGACTTCTCAAGTTCGTAAAATGGATTTCCCTAACTATGTCTTCATATTTCCGTAGTAAATGAAAAATTTCCGTAGCACCTAATAATTTGCCTTGAGTGCAAGATATGGGTTGTTCAAAATTGCAGTATGGTACAGCTGTGGTGTATAGCATCATAGTCACTTGTACAGTCGATCACGGACAACCGGAAGCAAGATCATGTTTGGTGGTGTGGGGTTGTTGATTTAGCCATAATAGCGTGTTTTATCTGGTATTTCCCATACATTTAGGCCTAATCATGTTTTTGCGTAGTTTGTATATATTTCCGTAGTATTTATCTCCATTTCCATACGTCCGTAATTGAGTTGGATTTCCGTAGTAACTAAGGACGTTCCATAGTACTTGAAAACCCTGAAGCACTCTTTTATGAAGAAGATAAAAAAATGGCACAAATAATAATTGTATATTGTGTACTTTTTCAGGGTATAGGGAGGGGGGTCACAGTAAAGAGTATGTCTTGTACTGTACTCTTATGAAGATGGTGAAACTTATGCATGAACCCCTTACACTAATCGTCTGCATTGTTCTAATTTACTGCTAAATAGTTGTTATTATTCATGGTATAAGATTATAGTAACTAAATACTACACAACCTTCAATAATTATTACACTTAGTAAAACTATAAAATTTAGACCAGATCAACATCATTTGTTTATATATGTGATGATCTTTGGAATAAAATGTGTAGTTGAAACATGGACCTATTATTATTATAGGTCCATGGTTGAAACTATGATGGCTTTCTTAACATTGTGTAGTTTACATTCAAGTTAAACAATTTTATTACCTTATTTGATATACTGTAATGTATTTAGAGATAGAAACTATAATATCCTGTACAAACTATATGTAAAATAACTACTGTATATAGAAGAAATATTGTAATAATATATGCCATTATTAATAGTATTTATGTAAAAAGGTAACTATCTGGATTGGAAATGAGTTTAGAATGGTACAAATTCTGACATTATTCATATAGAGTAGGCCCACATTACAATGTGTGCACTTTAGTGAAGAATGGTGATTCAAACTTGTATTGTTTATTCTACTACTATTGTTTGAATAAATGCATTTGCATACAATGCATTTTTGTCATTATTTATGTTTTCTATATTTTTTTTTATTACATGTTGCTACTATTTTGTTATTTTTTGTCCTCAAAAAAATAAAACAAATATTTGGTAGATTTGGAGACCACCGAAGTCACTGGTAATTGTATAATAATAATATTTTGAGTTCTGTTAATGAATTAATAAAGTTACAGTAGTAGTGTTAAACTGTATTGTCACCATGGATTCCAAGACCCGTCATTCGAAATTTAATTTCATGAAATGTAATGCTTTAAAATTTTTTAATCATCATTTTCTATGCATTAGCTATTTGATTAACATATCCCATATTTCTTTTGAATTTCTACGTAGGCCTACTGTTTAGGATTGATTATTAAACGACGAACAGTTTTCATGTAAGAAGATAAATTCAAATGAGGTCTATTCAGTCTCTATTAGACAAATATAATGTAAAGAAGATATACTTTTTGTCAGAGACACGGAAATTTGTTTTGTTCCATGATGCAGCATACAAAACGAATGCAAAAAAAAAAAAAAAAGAAAGGAAAACGAATACATGTATGTCATATTTTTTAAAAACAAAGAATGGAGACAACCTTGTTTATATCGATTGTTTAGTTTTTATTTTATGATATTATTTTTAGGCTCAGGGCCAAGGACATCTCAATTACTGGGCTTAAAATAGTTTTTACACCTTCTGAGGGGCGCTTATTCAAACGAGGCGGTTGTGGTTAGCTTGTTAGCCATTGGCCGATTGAGATTAGCAGGACGGCAGGATCATTGTATTTTTTATTTGAGATCTCAGATGAGAATGTGCTAAAGGTGCAAATTGTCGGAAAAGAAAAAGAGGAGTAGGACTAGGCATAGGCCTATGTAAAAAGAGTAAAGTTGGAAATATACTGTCTGTCCAGGGATCAGAGCTCTCATCTGTCCAAGAGAAATATCCTCATTTTTATATTGACCTAAGAAGAATGTGTTTCCACTCTGCAGCTCAATTATGCCAACAACAGCAATCCCTGGATTAATTGGGTTATTGACTTGCTAAAAAGAAAATATTATGATATTATTGGGGGGGGGGGGATAGGGGGCGCTTATTCAAACGGGGCGCTTAAGGGAATTTTCCCGTTAGGAGGGGCGGTTATTCGAGAGGGGCGCTTATCCAAACGGGGCGCTTATTCGGGCGAGTACGGTATAGTGAACTTCACTTTCACAATCTTTTTATTAAACAAGACAAACATAAACACAAGATCATAAACTAAAGTCTCAGTATGAGGTTTAGGAAGTGGAGTTGTTTTGGTCATGAGAAAAAAATCCTATTGTGACAGGAAAAGAATTCCCAGGACCCTGGATTAGAAGCTGGCGCTGCAAGCATCTTACCTTCTTAAATTTAAACCACACACAGGAAATGGAATTCTCGGACAGACTTAAATTTGAATGTAAATCTTTTTTCCCTCCATTTTAGCAGAGAAATCTATGAAATTGCTGGCATAATATGCAAATTGTGGAGGGGAAAAAATGAACTTTACTGTACAGCTAGGTACAGTATTTGGACACTGAGAAAATATCCTGGCAATTTGTTTCTCTTTCAACATGGCGAGTGCGGTGTGTGAGCATGACTTTGGTTCGTGGCTCGTTGACACACTCGAAAAGCTAAGTATTGACCATGAAGTGTTCGGCACCTACATCACAGGAATTCTAGAAGCAGAAGATATATCAGATGAAGAAAAATCAGAAGCATTGATTGGTGTTATCGGCGGTGTAACAGAGGTATGCTATGTAGCTTAGGCTAGGCCTTAGGCCTATCGTAATCATATTTGCCTTGAAGAACTCCTTGCTTGAATCAATGAATGTGAATGAAGCGTAGCGTAGCCTAGGCGGCCTACGAAAGATTGGTTGTGTGCCTAGGCTAGTGCCGGGCGCTAATAAGCAATTAGTAGAGCTCCGCATAGTACACTATCTATAGGAAAATTATTATACGAAGGTTAGATTTAATGCTTGAAAAAATTTCCTGAGGGCCTGTAAGCCCCAAAGGAAATTTTTGAATGCATTAAATCTAACCTAAGTATAATAATTTTCCATTTAGTGTACAATGCATGCTCTACTAATTGCTTTATAAGTCAATCGCCATCTTTTAATTTTAGTTTTTTATAACCAACTGTGGTAACAGTCATCGGTTGCTATAGTGATATGATCAGTATACGTGTGCATATTTACATTTAGCTGTGCGTATGCGTATGCTGATTTTTGCTCAGTATGTGTTTAATTAACTACACATCAGCAGTACAGTGCGGATACGATGAATAACTCTTGTAATTTTTATTGTGTTAGGAAGAACTAGTTTGTAAAGCTATTTTGCAACACCTAAATTCCATCACATCACCCCTACTCTTCGTCGTCTTCATTGGTTGCAAGTGAAACAGCGTATTGAATTCAAAGTACTTTTATATGTTTACAAATCAATTCACAAGTTATCACCACAATACATTTCCGAATTAATTAAGGTTCGTTCTGCAACTTGCACTCGTTCCCTCCGGTCAACAACTGACTCAACCAATCTTTATTGTCCATCCTTTCAGTCTTGTGGGGAGCGATCATTTATGGTTGCTGGGCCCAAGTTGTGGAACTTGTTACCTTTATTTATTCGTGAGTCACCTTC